TTGCTGATGGCTGCTATAGACTTATTCCTAACGTCTGTACACAAGCTACAAACGAACATTTTATTAACTAATTCAAGGCAAATCATAATAAGAGTGAGCGATGAAGAGAATGGCCGACCTCAAACACATCCTTATCAATCTAGACATCAGTTACGGAGCCCAAAATATAGTCTACACGAATCAAACAAACATTAACGCAACTGAATGTCCACATAACGTATCACCATTAACAATACCTATTCTTTCCTCCTATTTTACTTGTTCATTCATCCCGTCAAACAGGTTTATTTTTCACAGCGTCCCCCAATCTCTACGAATTCCTACTGCTTTCTCCCTCTATCTTCCTCTCAAAACTATGAAAAAGAGAAACGATCGAACGAAAAACTGACAATCAACGAGTACAGTCAATTTCAATCGAATAAAAGAGTAGTAGCAAAGTTATTAATTATGTTCCATACTGCACGTAAACAGATGGAACTTTTGGATTTCTTTTGGAAACAAGATCAATGGAGATCAGTGGAAAGTGATTCAATAAGTACTAATTCAAAGAAATGAAATCAAAATTAACATTGATAATCTGCGTTTTACCGAATTACTTTGCATTCTGAGAAATTATANTTAAATATTGTCAATTCAATGATACCTAATTAAATATTGTCAATTCAATGATACCTAATTAAAAGTAAATGACCTACTAACTGTCTGTAAATAGACGGCGTAGTCATATTACAATATCTCTTCACCCGAAGTAGTTCAGCAACGACTCATAGATAACGAAGACACCTCTTACAAGCGAGCTGACCTTAACTAGTTTTACAAGGCAATTATCAATTAATTTTCTGATTATCAGTCATGACGAATACCGATTGTATTACCGTTGGAAAAATGATAGCGATGTATGTTTATGCAAACAGTGACGACAATGTGCTCTTGCTTTATTTGATCATCAGAAAAACCAAACCAGAAAATGTCGTGCAATGAAAACGTTGCAAATAAAGAACATTTTAAGAAGACTTCATCATCAAAAAATCAAAGCGAAACCTAAAGCACATATATTCGTAAAACTAAATTTGCGTAGAACTGACCGCACTGAGGTAAAGTCGATGAAATGAACGGATAATGATCCGTTGAAATGAGCTTTCCAAGTGGATATAACAGTGGCAAAGGTTTTATCGATAATTCAAAACGAATATTGATAACAACAGCAGTAACAACAACAACAACAACAACANTCCATTCGATGGTGTTATCCATAATGTACACTATAATCAGGCCGCATCACAAATCCGCTGAAATGATATTATCACGTTTCGCTAGACGCAATATACAATCATCCGATTCGCCCATACGACGAATATCACCACATATTGCATATCTGGAAGAAAGGTTTCATATCTATATTTATCTGCCATTCACCGATTAAATGCACTCTTGAAAGACTGAGGACTATTCCGAGCTTCCGTTTCACCCACTTACGTCGGCCGTCCGAAATTTTTTCTGTAAATTCCACAACAATTCATTCACATCCAAATGTGAGATAATCACTCAACGAAGATCCATCCCAAAAGGAACCTTGTAAGTTGCCCAGGTATCATCCGTCCTGTGTTCGGGTCTACATCAGCCAAGTCGATCTGAACCGACGCGTGATCTGTGGCCGAAATGATTCTCGATGATGAGGAACATTTCCTCGGCACATACAACTCAGTTACTTCACCAGTGTCGTTCTGCATGATCTCTTCCTTGTTTTATTATTGGCTCGTTTTCTTTAATTCACAACCTTGAATTTATGAAATCAGTCAACATTTCCGTTGCAATAGTCGCACGAAATCTGAACTAATTGTAATTAAACTATTGTAAATAAGCAGTCGAACGAGACAGATAAGAACGTGGATATACCGTAAAATACACAAACGAATCGTCGACTGAATTTGATGAAAACTTTATCATAAAAATTTTCAAAGAGAAAATTCAATGAAAAGAAACTTCGAACAGATAGCAGTACGTATATGAATAGTGGATGACATAAAAATCTGACAAGCAAAAATCTTGACAACGACAGTGTCCCTCTGAACAAATAGAATATTGATGAAAGGAACAGCCAACATTCTGGAAATGAAACAATAATGACACAAAAACAGTAATTTCAGTTACGATAGCGGTAATGGTACGGAATATCAACAACAGCAACAATATACATCATTATTAGTATTAAATAAAAGAGCACAAACGTTTATACATGTTTAAGGATATGATGAGATGTCTTTAATATTTCGATAGGATAGGCAACAATATACAGTATAACTCTAATGAATTAGCACTACTCTATACGATTCTCTATTGAAAAAACAATAAAATCTGATTATTTATCGGCAAATCCAGAACGAAACATTATCACTGGTTAAAAACTATGATAAAATGAACAATATTCTTAACAACATTACTGTCATGTGAACAATTAATGAAAAGTATACTCCAATATAGAAACTAAATAAGAAAACTAAAGAAACGAGAAAAATTGAAGTCAAAATATATTTCTGAGTGGATGAACGGTTCGAAGAGCGATTTGTGATAGCACTTGATGGCCATATAAGAAACAATTAACATGCGTGAGTAACACATGACTTTAACACAAGTAACGACGACCACTTTTTGGTGCCGTTTATCAATACAGTCAGTTTAACTTCAATTCGAACACATATTATCTCCTTCAACAGANAGAGGAAATTTCCTCATAACACTCAACAAATGGTAAATTTATCGTTGAAAAAAGGACTGCAAGAAACAAGAGTGAATGTAGTAAAACAAGAAAAAGACTTTAAAAATAAACATTCGTATAGAAGAGATCATATCATAATCATATGCATTCATATAGGCCAAATTATTATTCGAGAACGCATTAAGGAATAACAGAAGTTCGACTACCTTTAAAGCATTATACAACATTGCTGCATAGGGTTGAAAGTTTTCGGCCACGGTTGACGAGATGAAACCACAAAGCGCAAAGCCATATCAGAAATGCGAAGAATGTCGCCAGAACGAGGAATCAAAACCACTGAATAACAGTGAAAAAGGAAAACGAAATGGCTTTGCGCATTGAGATTGCGAACGGATCTTTATATAAGATCGATCATGAAATATGAGTCCGACGGAACGAATGAACATCACCCATTTTTGAAAACGAAAAATATGTGGCATATGAAAACAACTACAAGAATGCAATAAGGAATTATGCATTATGCTTAATGAGGTATGGTAATGAGGATGGGAATATTCATCTCGGCTGGAAACCTCCCGAAATGGTCTGCAACACAAGAATGGCATCCGATCATATTAACTTCGTGAAATCCACCATTTTATCCATAACATTTTCACTGCTGATCTCGTCCGCCACCTACAAAAACCATCAGCCATTAAACAACAAAGAAACTCTCGATAAATGACTCATCATAACAACTAATTCATGTGAAGATTTAAAGCGCTTACTTCGGGATCTGCCCATTTCATTACTTTCACTGCACTCTCCAAATAATTCCGCAGTCTATTCGTCACCTGCTTATTGATCAACTGAAAAGGGAATATCATTCACATTAAATCTAAAAGCAATCGCAAAACATAAAACATATATATGCTCGTCATAACAGCTATAAAAGATGGAATCGATCACGGGATACATACTAATGCACTTTCTTGAACGAAACAATCATCGTCATAATAAGCTCTCTACTCTTTTGACAAGCAATATTTTCAAACGCATCTGTCGGTCAAGGAAACCCTCGCAGATGCACAGAGGTAAACTGAACATGCAAATAACAACAACAATGAACCATTTCAACTCCTTCACGATGTGCTCTGAAGTAGTCTTGCAAATCGAACGTTAACGCCTCATCTGCACTGCCGAAATTGATCTTTGGGAAGGACGATTCTCGACAAAATTCCAAAACATCATTCAATTTACGCAACAGGCCATCCCTTTGCTTCTTCAATGCAACTTTCTGAAAATATCGTTGATTAATGATTTGAAAACAAAGCAGACGTATAAATTTTGATTTCTAATCGAAGTAAAATTACACAAATCTTTTGTTTTTGATAGTGCAAGTTACCTTCTGAATGCAATCTCTAATTAAACGTAAGCATTCAATTACCTCGGATATGTCTTTACTCATAATCTCATTCGCATTTTCATCCTTACAGTTCTGGCTCGACGCTGATGCGTTTCTCTCAGATTCATCTTGAATTGTTGTTGAACTCTGCGGCGCATTCGATGACAATTCAGATCCATTCGTCAGTGGCAAAGGAATCGATTTTTTTTCATTCACTTCTTCTGTTCTCCTCTCATCTGCAATGTAACCATTCAACAAAACAAGATGCTACATACAGACAGTGAGTTATTTATCATACTGAAGAAGACCTTAACTGCAATACTAATAACTGCTTGGCCAAAGTGAATCAAACTACCGATTGGTGGCAAGCCTCTTCTCAAACGTCGGATAGATATCAATCTCGATAATTTCTATACGTTCTACCACAAATAAATCATAGTGATAAAGTAATTCATCAAGTCTCTTAAAGCAACACTATTCCTTGGGGAATTTTGAAATTAACTTCGACAAGCGACAATTTTCATTTGAAAGAATTTTTCGAGTTTTTTTTTGGCAAAGCCTGTTAGAAAATTGATTCTCATTTCAGAACAACATAATTACCATTTAATTTGAGGGATAAATCAGCCGATGATGCACTTCTACCGTTATTCATAGGCAAGTCTTTCTCTTCAATTATCTGCACTTCTGAATCTTCTGCCGTCGTTTGTTGTTCACCGTTCAACGTCGATCGTCTTGTTATCCTTCCACTACTTAATGAAGCCTTGAAGATAATAAGTATGAAAATGAAGAAATGAAATACAAATTTTAAACAAAGCACCAATNNGTATTACAACTCATCCACTTTAACAAACGAGATGACATTTTACAAAGAATCAAATCACTCAATTACCTTAGTTCTTGCTAAAGATTTGCGCTTTTTTGGTGGCTCTTCCTGAAAGACAAAGCCATTGCCGTTTATAAATTAACGAAGAATATTTATGAATTCAGTTCATGAAATTTGTAAAGAACTGCTACATCATCACCATAGAATACGTCAAATTAGTGTGGTGCGGGGACGGAAAAAAGTCGGCGACAGGGAAAATCGAGGACCAAGTTTTACAGTCAGGGACCCTGAAAATGTCGTCGGCTGGAAAAAAAGTCGGAGACGAGGAATTGCGGAGGGGCTCCTCGAAATCCGCAGCACATTACGTTTTAAATGACCGCATAGAAGAGACTACTAACCTCCGACTCTTCATCAACTTCACTTGAAGTGAACTGGAGCACTTTTCCATCTTTCTTCGCAGAGTTGATCGGTCGTAGTCGAGAGGTACTTGCCAACGCTCCATTTGATGAAATATTAGGCCTGACAAGTGGTGTGCGTTTTGGTTGGATAGTTCTTCCGCGTGAAACCTCTGCGGTTGATTTCTTCATCAACAAGCTAGTCCTTGTGGGTGGTGGTGATGGGGATGTATCCTTTTCGTCATCATCAGATGATGAAACGGATCGCTGACGTCCTCGACGACTGCGAGCCGGTGGCGTTGGCAATCGTTTACGAGCCACCGGCGTTTTATTCAGCACTTTCCTTCAACGTTAAATCATCTCTGATACAAATTACATCTTTCAACTGAACAATCATTTAACTTCTTTCATTTCCTCTTTAATTATTCAACAATATCTATTCGACTGTTGAAATAAATCGCACTTTTGCAAAAACAAAACAAAAATATTCCATTCCATTTATTCGCCTCACAAATCTCTTCACTCACTTGTATTTTCAAACCAAAAAATTAATTCAGTACTCGAAGCAATCTAGCTGATAACATAACTTTTTTTAAGTAATTGCGTTAATTTTCGTGACAACTGATTAACTCTTACGAGAATAATAGTTTAATGAATTTATATTCATGAAGGCATTATCAGACTGAAGATCACTAATTATAAGTTTAGATCCATCCCAACAAAGACTAAAAGATCGATCTTCTGAGCGAATTTGAGCTAAACACTTTCACCGAGATCGTCCAGAATTGATAAGGAATTCTGTGTATCATAAGCAATCTCACACTGTTCAATCACTACGATGGCTTGTCTTAAATCAAATTATCGCAACACGTAAACAATCAAACACAGAAGTAAATCAAAGTAAACTTCATACCTATTTGATGCGCTGCTGTCCTTTTTCGCAGTTGGTGTTAACGATGACTTAATCGTCCACATCAATCGTCCTTTGGGAATCGGTGGTAGTTCTTCGAGCTTAGAGCAGTTTCTGAATATTGAATTCGGATGCATACTGCAATTCCAATTCTTCGGTATTCCTTCGCTCAAGTAATTTTGTTGGAACTGTAAATGTCGCCATTTGAGGCAGTTATCTGAAACAGAAATCAAAGTGATTTTTGCACACGAATACATGCAGCATCTACAAGCATGTTCGCATTGATCAATTACGACTGTTTAACTGAGACGATTACTGTGATGAATAACATCTGCCCGCAAATTGTACTGGAATTGGCGAAGGTAAATCACCAAAATTATATCGGTATCAAGATGAGTCAACATGGATTTGTTGTTCTTCTAGACTTATTTTACAGAAGAACTACAAATTGCTTGAAATGAGTAACATATCGCTAAAAAGTAGACGGAAACTAACCACACTGAAGTGAGTAGCCAACACATGAATACCGTTTACGAATGTACTCAGTTTCATTACTCGGCTCCGCATTCCATTCCATGCTTTTATAACCAAATGGTCGCCTTCAAATATTGATTGATTCCGATTAGTTTTACACATTCATAAATCCATGAATAATATTGTTTAGGAAGTCTTATTGAATTTACATATAACTATGCCGTAGTTATGAATTGTATTAGTGCTAAGAACAATTATGTATCAAGCAACTGTTATTCGACCGCGTAACACTTTTTATAAGTCCTCACTTTCGACTCCTTTTACCTCTAATTTTGCAGAAGTATTTTTGTTCTTATTACTTCTCTTCAAATGGGTTTCCAAGCAATCAGACCCTCTCCAAATAAGTTTCTTTCTGCAATACGATAATTCAGATTTCTGAAAAGAACAATTTCAACAACATCACCAACCAAAAGTTTGCAACTCCCCCAGGAGTGGCCTCGATCGCCGTGTCGTTCCAATACTGTTCCATGTAATCATTGATTGCCTTCATCAAGTTGGCATACTCTCGTGGATTCTCGAATGACTGTTTGCTGTGCGCTGGTGCCAGTACTGAGCACGGCACATCGACAACGGCAACAACACCCAAATACTTTCTGCAATATACTATCCAAGATTACTTTCTCAGCACATCCACAATTAATTCGAATGTAATCCACTAACAGCATTCTATCGTTTCGCTCTTTTTGATTGGCAACTTTCTCATACATTCTTATCAAACGTCCATTGTTATAGAGCATACAGCCATATTGATTGCGATGATGGATGTTAAGGCCGAAATAGAATACCAATGGACTGGGATTTGATTTGGCTCTGAAATTATCAATAATGAACATTTGTACATCTTTGAAGTTGTATAAAAGCATCAACTAGTTGAATTGATCAAAAGATGATAATGCACAGTACAACACAATAATAACGCCAAAAGCTTCACATTCAAAATGCCAATGAAATTTGAATGACAACAATGGTATGTGAAATATGAGGGGAAAATTGTTTGAAAAATAAACGATCGAAATTAACCTGGCCAGTTTTTTGAGGCGCAATTCGGATGCACAAAGCATTTCCGTAGCTACATCAACAGCCTTAATCAGTGTTCGATGATGGATTCGAAGTGTGCTATCAGTCATGAAATTGGGATGTGCAACTTCGAAATTAGCCACTTCTGATTTATTAAGCGCCACTGTATCGGTCACTGAAATAACAACAATAAGCAGTCAAATTTAGCTGGACGGACTTAATCTGCAGCTGGGTGATTACAGATCAATTCTGAGCGTTATCGGTTGGAATAAAGCTTCAATTCAAGCAGAGAACATAGAGGGGTTCCGAGATAACGTAAACGACGTACGTTCTACAACCTTCTTTTGACAATCTTGTAACTCTCTTTCGGCGCACGCCTTCAAATTTCTTGCCTGATACTGATACATTCTCGGTTTATATAATGCACTCAAAATACGTTTCGTATCCACCTTCTCACCGCGTATAAAAACCCGCATTCTCGGTTTTGCATATAATACCGCCAGATAGGCTCGAAGTGAATTACGTTCATTCTCCCTTCAAGTACAATTCTTTAGTACGAAATTATCGGTACTGACTAATTCGATGCGTTCAATGAGATGTCATTGAATATAATTTCCAGAGCGTCAATCAAACTTCCGATTCACAACTGGAGGAAATAAGTCGGTCGTTCAATGAAGGTGAAAAATTGAAATTCAAACGTTCTTAACGTGCTATCAGTGATCTGAGATCAGCGATCAAAACAGTGGTAAATGCATGAATGCAGACGAATAAACGGTTGCTTACCTCTGTGGGATATGCTGTGACAATCGAACATCAAATTTATCAGTATTGAAATCCATTTCAAACTGACCACCTTCTATACGACGCAGATTATAACAAATTACCAACGTGCCAGTTTCGGAGTGAATTCTTTCGAATTGCTGCATCAAGTGTTCGTGCGACTCGAATGGTGAATACTTATAGATGATGTTTACTTCGAGAGTGTGCTGCAACAAATAAAGCACACTGACCATCATCAGCAAGCCAACTCATGCACCAACTTCATCGCACGATGTTCAAACATCCTATGCCTGATCTACTACACTCTGCTCCCAGAGATGATCAAATTACCTTGGAGTGAGATGTTATCAATAACTCACAGCAATCAGCGCACAAAAAACACCGAATGACAATTTAAAAATAAGTCCGCTAAACGCAAGACAATACGTTACATTCTTGAATAATTTCTTTTCAGAACTGACAATGAAACGTAAACAATTTGGAATCACTAACTTTGTCCATCTCCGACATCGTTTCGTAATATGCTGTACCATCTTCCAGAAACGATGGCGTTGGCACAATCACCTAAAATTATCCTGAATAACTGGAAAATAATGGATGGACACATTTTCCACTAGAAAAATATCTATGTGCTTGTGTGCAGTAGGACTAAGTCATGCATTAAGCAGCAAGAAACCGCTTTCAAATAGTTTTAAACGTATTAGCAGGATTATTTGAACCACACAAATAAACAGTACAATTAACGATTTTTCATATTTAATGAAACTATCAAAGAATAATCGCAAATGAAAGAAATACTGATTCTCAGCGCTAATATTGTGCGAAAGAACAAATGAGGAATTTGATAATGATGATAACAGAGAGACAATAAGTTGCAACTGCTGAATAAGAGAATAAATAAATCATCAATTAAAAATAAACAATTGAAAGTAAACCTTTCGCAAATTATTCGCCTCAAGGAAGGATCTCGAAATAAGCATGCATGTTAGCAACCCTTCTTTCTTTGTTAATATCAACACATCTTTACCGATACGCATGGCAGCACTGAATGCGATTATTAAGGTCAACAACAATAAGGTTTATCAAATTATAATCACAACAAGATTCAGTGGAATAACGAAAGCATTTCGCTGTGCACGATTTCATCGTTGTATAAGATGGATGGAACACTTCCGTGAACTGAACTACGCCTCGAACGATTTGACTGTGAGATTAAGTTTTGATTTTGAACCTACTTGGAATGATCTAATTCTGAGTCAACTTTCAATGAAAACTTACGACTTCAATCCGTTGCCGTACTGACCCACCATTTCAGGATCCATTCGTTTTGCTGAATATCCGAACGAAATGATCGATTCAATTTCTTTCTTGTCCATTCCACAGCCATCATCCAAAAAACTCAACTGACCATCATCTAAACGATATTACAGCATAATTTGTGAATCCTTTCAAATACACAAATCTTGCCAGCCATTCGAAATATATCAGTCTTCTACTTCTGTTAATTTCAACCTCAGCGGGTGCTCACCCGATGCCTGGTTTTCATGAAGACCACGCAAAGTGAGATGCAATCAATTTGAGGCTCAATTAAATGTTCAATTGGATGATTAACATGTACCAAATTTCAAATCTGTTAAATAAACGTCAAACTTCGCACACGGCATTCGACTAAAGAGATGACACTTCATTGACAAGTGAAGCGGAATTGTCACAGTTCGTAAAACTTTCATCAATGAATGTGTACGAACGAAAATAAAGGAACAGGGTTAACCGTATTCGATATATAGAGCATCTGCTTTTGCATCTCTTGAATTATCAACCAATTCTGCTATTGCCCCAAACAAAAATTCATGAGTGGTGCTGAAAGAAGTAACACATTTC